TAACACAATTCTGTCAGCATTATTCGCAGGTCGACGAACTGTTACCTGTGTCTAGGCTCACAACGACGAGGCACATGCAGATTAATTCTTGGCTCAAGGGAATTAGCCGTTAAACAACAAGATCTATGCCGCACTGGTATCTGAATCTTCACTTCAAAAGTACAGAGTCGAACGACTTCCTTCTGAACTAACCTATTACACATATGACCACTTATCGAAAAACAAAGGAATCGTTTTCTTTTTTCATTTGATTCATCCTTAAAGGGTCTACACCGCACAGATTTTACATGGAATTTGCCTGGCATTTTCGTCCGCACTAAATCCATCTTCAAGGACCATATCGCACTGGCGGATAACGAAAAATACCGCCTTTGGCATTGTTTTGGATATTAATACGGATGGTAGTATTAAATCCGTCCGTTAGGGCGTCTAAACAAAATATATTTCTCCGAGGCAAAACTAACTTAAACGGCATAATACGCTCTGCTAAATGAGGTTATCAACTTTATTAGCCTACCTGTTCGGAGGTCAAGAACGATGTCATATCAACAAAAAAACACTTCATGGCACTTCGCTCAGCCACGCCATATCCTACATTGAACACTGCGTGCTACTTGCGACAGGAACAAAGACGAAGGATTGTGAACAGCATGATTTACATGTGGTCGTGGCATAGTGACAACAGGTCAGTCTCGAACTTCGGTAGCGGCGGGTTCCCGAATCTCGAAGAAAGAGAAACACCCCTTAACCGCACATTTCCTCAGCAAAGAATGTATCCTATGCTGATTTGGCCGAAGCATTCCTTAGTGGTTATCAAGTCAATGAGCTGCAAACAACGGGACGGCATAGCGTTATGTCGGGATCATAGCAGAATGGGCGGTAGACAGTCATGCAGTCTGATGAAAGCGCCTCTTAGGACAGCAATTCGCCAATCTGGTAGCTAACAATCTAAAGTGATAATCAGCAACAGTAAATGCTGATGTTTGTTTGGTCGTCTTAAAATGTAAACAAGTAAATAACGCCTTTATTTCCTTCAGCGAGCCAAAACAGGCTTCGCACCGAATATCTACAATTTAAGGAAAGCTTACCTTGACCGCTACATTAACGAACTGAGTAGGCTGAAACAGACAATCCTGATATACACTTCGATGATAAAGGATTTGGTGAGTTAAGAT